GCAAAACGTATGTTGGGTTTCTTCGAAGAATATATAAAACCATAGTTGCATTAAAAGAATACTGGGTTTAAACCAAACGTTATACGAAGGTGCGAAAGTAGAGATCAAATACGAAAAGGAACTTTACGAAGCACAAATTCTGAAATTTCACGGTAAGTTTAATATTAGAAATATAAATATCTAGGATTCTAGGTCTGTAACGCTTGTGTATATAAGCATAAAAACGTGGTGTGAAATCGCTAACATGAATATTTACCGACGCCAACGGTTTGTTTATGAAAATCGAAACGCGATAATTTCCGACGATCTACGAAGAGAACTCTTTCTCAGCTGCGTCCTCGCCCGCAGACGCAAAGCGGACGCATGGCGCCCGCACAGTGGACGCACCCGCAAGCGCCCGCAGACGCACAGTGGACGCACGACGGACGCACGGCGCCCGCAGGACGGACGCACCCGCGGGCGCAAGATACCCGCGTCTTGGACGCGGTTTTTGATAAGTTATTTCTTGGCAGTACTGTAAGTAATACAAATTTGAACTCTTAATTTTATTCTTCAAATAACGTAATAATCTTACCTCAATAACGTATAAACAGACGTTCTTATAAAATGAATATAATATTAGTTTACTAAGACGTTGATAACTCCACGAGCCATGTACCAGTAGCAGTTTATTCAAGAAGCGGAACTATAGTGAAACAAGTATGATAGTACTGCAGTATGTTGTTATGAAATTAAATCAGGTCGCCACGAAAATGCAAATAAATATCTATACTACTTGGGAAGTTATTGATCATGGCATATGATATGTTATCAGAACGCCAATGAACTTATACCATTGTGAGAAAATCCTTACCTGAGCAATGGCGTAATCCGAAGCACTTGCTGCTTGCAAACCTTCCTGACCACTTATACCAACACCAACATGAGCTGCCTGCAAGTTAAATACAAGAAAGTTATCCTCTTGTGTTATTGCAGGGGGAGGGGGTGGGGTCAAGGAAAGGCGTCCTCGGTAGGAGGTTGTGAATAAGAAAACGGTGAAAAGCATGGTCCTTCCCATTGTTGTATTTTTTTAACCTCTGGGTTGATTTCCTACATTTTCACACACAAATGACATATTTTAATTATTTGCTGGCAGGCAAGATTTCAAATCTTGCTCGAGATTTGTTACAAACAACGTATTTCATGTTCCAGGACGTTCACATGCACATGAAGCGGTCAAACATGACGCATATATAAATGGATATCCATATAGAGTGTCACTAAAGGGTCCCTGCCCGCAGCAGGAATCGAACCTGCGCTCCTGTGATTCTGGTGCAGCGATCTAACCAACTGAGCTACAGAGGCCAGTTGGCGAGCTCTAATCACAAGTTCATGTGTATGTGTGGAGTACTGCCATGTTTATGTTTTGGGTAAATATCGAGATTTTTGTTGGCATCTCACTCGATTCAAGGGCAGTGTTGACAAAAGAATACCATGCCGCAGCTCTGCTCCTAATGACTCGGAAGTAACCAACTGCCCTCTTTACTTGAGACCATACCTGAATCATACCAACATCATTTGCTCCATCACCAATTGCTAATGTTATAGATCTCTTCACTTGGGACTTGACTAGACGTACAACTTGAGCTTTTTGGAGAGGAGATACTCTAAACATATAGTTATACAATATTCAATAAACCATAGCAAAAAGTGAAGGTATAAGGAAACGTACGGCGGCCAACGCCACTTTGATGGAACTCATATATTTACACCCTAAAAGCCGAGAAAAACAGATGTCTGAAAGGTTACCGAGGATAAATATGTTTAAATAATAAAAATAATAAAAGACACACCGGACGCGATTCGACAACCCGATGCGATTTTTCAGTTTTTGAAAGTTAATAAAACAGCCAATGAAAGGAAATTTTAAAAGATATGTAGACCAAATAACTCAAAATGTTATAGCGCTTCCAAATATTTGTAAAACTTAAACCATGATCAAAGTTATCGGTCAGTGAAAATCGAAAAATCGCACCGCGTTGACGAATCACATCCGGTGTGTCTTCGCTTTAACACCGCAGTTGCCGTTTGCCAACGTCGTACCGAGTTGGATTGAAATATAGTATTTTGACAATAGCTTTTGCTAGGTTATTGGATTTGGCAAGAACATAGCAGCCATTTTTTTATCGGAAAAAATTACAATTTTTTATCTCGAAAGAAATTAACATTGTATTATACAGTACTTGCTCTCATAAGATATATTGTATTTACATTCAACGTTTGGAAAAACTATTTTACCTGCAGCAAATGACTGCTTTACAAGACAATGCCAGATCCAAGAAATTATACTTTAATTCTTCCTCTAACGCGTAATTCAAAGTCTAAATTAAAGAAGGACAAAGCTTAAAACTTCACATAGCACAATATATACATTAAATATTACAGTAGACTGGGCCCATGCAAGAGAAGCTTTGCACATGCTAGTTATATAGACTACAGTACCTATACAGACAACGCCACAGTGGACAGAATTGGTAAAATGTTCTCTAAGTACTTGCACTGGTCCGCTAATGTATTGTTGAAAATGAAAAAACCTAACTCGCTTTTCA